ATATATATATATATGCAGTGGCGATTCTGGAACTCTGAAAGTGGGGATCACTTGGGGGCTGAGATTTTTCTGCGGAGGACGAGGGAGCAAATTCAACCAACATTATTTTCATAATACACCACTATCATATACACAACTTAGGAATGAGTTTTAGTATAAGTATGTTACTTCACTAAATTAATACAGAGTAACGTTTCATTCATAGTTGTGGAGTTCTAATCTATTCTTGCCCCCTTTTCCACTCTCAAACTGTTGGACCACAAGAGAGGTTAACTTCAAAACAAAATCAAAGGGTTAATACTAACAGAACAGTGTAATTTGTCTGCTTTGATGTTTTTCCTCTACAAAACTTAGAAAAGTGGAGGGGCCAACCAAGGTGTCAGCCAAAATTCTGGGGTTGCATTGGCCCCTTCTGCCCCCCCTCCCAAATCGCCACTGACAAACACATTAACCTCACCTTACTACGCCTCTATTGAAAGCAGACAGAAAGTTTGTAAAAACATCTGAGTACGTCAAAAGCAGCGGAAGTGTTAAATATAATAAAAAGTTAATTAAAATCTTTAAAAAAACCTTATATTTATTTATTTTTCTGTTTATTACAATTTAACATTTAATGAGATATCTGAGCTTGATGTCATTTTAGAATATTTTCTTTGCACAGTCGATTGTTGAACCGGCATACTCTTAAATCTTCTTTCAAGGATTTTAACTGTGATCAATTTTTGTTTTTAATATTGTTTTGCTTTTTATACTTTTTTTTTTTTAATTATTTCACTCCCCAAGCAAGGTAGGAATGCCCCTAGCATGCAGGGGGTTACAGAGAATGAAGATGAGAGAAAAGAATGGGTGTTAGGGGGAGACTGAGAAAAGGATAAAAGCTGAATGGGGTACAAGAACATAGATGGCAATTGATGTTGCATTTAAATTTTTGAAGATTGTAGTTATCAGGGAAGCAAGAAAACAGAAGGGAGTTCCACAGGCAGGAAGTGTGAGGAAAGAAACTGTTCAAGTAGAAGTGGCGGTTGCATTTAACTATTTCAACAGTAAAAAAGGTGGGACCTAGATGCCAATTTTGTAGCACACTTAAACTCGTATAGTCAGGGTGCCAGAATAAAAAAGCTTACCAGAGCAGTAACCATGAAACTACTTGTAAAGAAAGGGAAGTTGCGTCATATTGGTGAGAAAGTGACTAAAGTCGAGATGCTAAGTGTTATGTCGGAAACCTACCACCCCTCTTGAAGATGAACTTGTCTGCGAACAAAGACTTTAAATAGTGGCATGTGAGAAGACAGGAAAGTTCTTAGCTGAGCTAGTTATTGACTACTCAGGCGATTTCTGTACCTTTTTACCAACCTATTAAAACCCTTTTTATTGTTACGTGTTATTTGACGTTTGTTTCTACTAACCCCAAATCAACATCATAACACTAAGTAAGGATTGATTACATTACAGATCATTCTTTGCATTTTGTAAAATTGTATATTATAGATTTCGTCAAATTTGTATATTATTATTACAGATTTTATTAACTTTGTATATTATAAATAAGTTTTATCCCTTGTTTCCTGTTCCTTCTAAAATCTCATTGTCTTTCACTCCCAGTAAACCCTTGTGCCTTAGTGGCATTATCCCCTTGCTTGGGATGAATTGATTAAAAAGAAAAAATTAAGTGTTTATTTATTATAACGATGATATTCTTGTATAAACAATTTAAAGTAGTTTTGATTTTGATATCTACATTCCTTGTGCTTTGGACTTCTTTCAAAAAAAATTTAATTAATGACCTTTTAAAAAATTTTACAGCACACCTATGATCATCTCCAGTGTGATGTGGCACAGCAGTTGAAAATCACATCTAGAGAGATTGTTGGGTGGGGGTATGGTGCTGAATATTTCTCAGCCTGACCCACCTCCCAAAATCTGACTAAAAATGAGTCTTTATTTTCTTATTTCTGTATAAAGAGAATAGAAATTTTAGTAAAGTTACCATGTATTTCAAAGCTGGGAGTACGAATGAGAAAAGTTCTCAGCCCAACCAAGAACAGTTTCAAAAGCAAAAATATGCTATTTATTCAAATTTTGGGAATTTGGTCAAGCTAAGAACTTTTCAGCACCTGCTAACTGTAGGACAGATTAAACATTGATTTATTCAAACAAGTATCCTCATCTTGGCTGTTGTACACACAGGACAAGTAATACGTTGTATTTGGTGACTTAGAGGTCTTTTAAGTTCAATCCAGGCTGACCATGTCAAAAGAAATCCTTGTGATATTTTTTAACTTTATTTTCATTGAATTGGAGTAAATGACCAAGGGATTGAACTCATGACCAATACTCAGCCATTGTTTATAGGACTATCAGTGGGGTGATATGATTAATTATGTATATGTTTATTTATTAGAACAATGATATATTTGTATAACCCTCCTCATGGTCGTCGACATGGCCTTCCTCTTCATCAGTCTATTGGTCTCAGAAGGGAAAGCTGGAGTGAGTAAGTAAATGTTAAAATTGTAGTCATCAAATATTTCAGTCTAAGAAGGAATTTCTTCAGGCAAAATACTGATATTTTTTTTTTTTTTTTTTTTTTTTTCACTAAATCAAGTTTAAAAGACCAGATAGTCTTATAAACAAAGAGAAAAAAATTGTCTAACTTCATTGTTGCAGGGAGTAAGATTTAAAAAAAAAAAAACAAAAAACAAAGAAAACTACTTGCATTATTCAGACTGTTATCCTCATCTTCATTGCCATATTCACAACTAGCAGTAGAGCCCGGTGTTGCCCGGAGATATAACAGTAAGAGATAGATCAAGTATCAACCATCATAAAGACTGAAAAATAAAATTGACAAAGATTATTGTTTAAGGTTGACGGACACGTATGTCTTAATTAGTTTTTTTTTTGTTTTTTTTTTACGAATTGGTCAAACCCAAACTCCAACAAAAAATTGTTTTCAATCGTTATGAGTCTATCGATTGAATAGAATTTTATGATAAACAATTGTCTTGTAAATGGAATTTTTAAAGCATTCTGAATGTAAAAATAAAGAAAAAAAAATGTGCAAGGCAATAAGAAACACTACCTGCCAAAAAAAAAGTGAAGTTTTGTTGAAATTGGTTGAAAAATGTAGGAAATCCAATCCTATATATAAAGGAACACACACACACACACACACAACCTGGGTTTTATAATAAGTATAACTCGATATGAGTTGTCCCCTTTTCATTCTGGTGACAGAATCGTATTTTATTGTGTTTTCAAATTGATTTCGTGCAAAAACAATTGTGTTTTTTCCAAATTTTGGCGCTGTCAGAACCACCGCAAGGTAATTTTACACAGTCCTGTGAAGTTTTGTTGAAATCGGTTGAAAAAATGTAAGAAATCTGATCCAATATATAAACGTACAGACACACACACACACACACAATCTGCGTTTTATAATAAGTAAGATGTTTCAGCTGTTGTACATTCCAACCTTCTTCAGGTGATTGGAATTTCGAATGAAACCCTTTATTTCATCCACTGATGATTGTTCTAATTACATGTGCCATGCCTCTTCAGGATGTAATAGTTATTTTCCTTTAACTCAACTCGCCAAGTTTTTGGTTCACCACTGCTGTGGCCTGGTATTGAACTCACAACTCTTTGGATCTAATAACTAGATCTAACCAACGTCTTTATCCACTGGGCTATGTGTCCTTGAGGAGAGTTGTGAGTTCAATACCAGGCCACAGCAGTAGAGAACCAAAAACTTGGAGAGTTAAGTTAAAGGGAAATAACTGTTACATCTGGAAGAGGCATGGCATGTGAAATTAGAAAAATCTACCCTGGTGGATGGAATAAAGGGTTCAGTTCAAAATTCCAATCACCTGAATATGGCCACAGCCTACAATGGCTGAAACATTGTGAATATAGCAATGAAGATGAGGATAACAGTCCGAATAATGTAAATAATGCAAGTAATCATAATACCTCATCTCAGAGATATAGAGGCCGAAACGTTGTGAATATGGCAATGAAGATGAGGATAACGGTCTGAATAATGTAAATAATGCAATTACTCATGATACCTCATCTCAGAGATATAGACAGAAAAAGCAAAATATAAAGGTGATAATTAGACACATCATCATTAGTGAGCTTGGAAAAGTCTAGAAGAGTGTTGGGTGGAAAAAAAGATTGTGGAAATTGAAAATTCAAGGAAAATTAAAAACTATCCAGAAAACAGCATTACTTAAAGCAGTAATACTGAAGAGAGTGCTGGTGAAGCTTGTTGTCACTTGATCCTTAGTAAAAGCTACTAGTTACGACTGGTGAGATAAGAAGCATAACACCAGTGGGGATCATGATGTCTTTTTGCTTTGACAATTTTAAACGCACAAAAAATCAAGGGACTGAAAATAGGGAGAAAAAGAGAGAAAACATGTGTGAGTGGGCGAATGTAAGAGGAGGAAGAGAGAGAGAGAGAGAGCAGCAGAAGAGAGAGTGGAAGAGAAGTGAGAAAGTTTTCCTTCCCTTAAGTAGGTTGCCACTCAAGGATGTAGAGATAGTGCCCAGTCTACTCTGCTATTTAATACCCAGCTGGTTGAAGAATGATTAATTCGTGCCATTTTCGAGGGCATTCATGTGAAAGTAAGCGCAGCAGACAAGGTGGGAATTTGTGCTTGGTTCACCAATTCCTTTTTCCATGCTGATAACCCTTATGCTACCTGCATATAATGTTACATTTTCTTAAAAGATTTACGTAGGAATGAATATAGAGTTTCTTGTGATTTTCATTTAGTGTTTTTCTATTTTGTTTGAATTTTAATTCTATTTTTTTTTATTAATCCTCCTGACCTTCTGTAGTTTGAGCTGTAAGATTTTTTGATTATAAAAACACGGCAACAAAAGATCAAAGAAGTGATTGCATCTAATTTAAGAGAATATTTTTCGTTTAATGTTTTTCTTGCTTTTTCTTCTGCTGATACTCTTTCAAAATGCATTTCCCCAGTACCCTTATGAGTCACTTTTCTCTTAATTTCCTCTCACTCTTATGTCCTCTCTTTGTCTCTCTCTTGCATACTCTGTTCATATCTCTCTTTCTCATTCTCTTTTTTTTCTCTCTCTCTCTCTCTCTCTCTCTCTCATTCTCCGTTTTTCTCTCTGTCTCATTCTCTGTTTGTGTCTTTCTCACTCTCTCGTTCTCTGTTTGTGTCTCTCTCTCGTTCTCTGTTTGTGTCTCTCTCTCGTTCTCTGTTTGTGTCTCTCTCTCGTTCTCTGTTTGTGTCTCTCTCTCGTTCTCCGTTTGTGTCTCTCTCTCACTCTCTCGTTCTCTGTTTGTGTCTCTCTCTCGTTTCTCTTTCTCTGTTTTGTCTCTCTCTCTCTCTCGTTCTCTGTTTGTGTCTCTCTCTCTCTCTCGTTCTCTGTTTGTGTCTCTCTCACTCTCTCGTTCTCCGTTTGTGTCTCTCTCTCACTCTCTCGTTCTCCGTTTGTGTCTCTCTCTCACTCTCTCGTTCTCCGTTTGTGTCTCTCTCTCACTCTCTCGTTCTCCGTTTCCGTTGTCTCTCTCTCTCTCTTTCTCCGTTCTCTGTCTCGTTCTCCGTTTGTGTCTCTCTCGTTCTCCCTTTGTGTCTCTGTCTCGTTCTCTTTGTGTCTCTTTTCTCTTTTCTCCGTTTGTGTCTCTCTCTCACTCTCTCGTTCTCCGTTTGTGTCTCTGTCTCGTTCTCCGTTTGTGTCTCTGTCTCGTTCTCCGTTTGTGTCTCTTTCTTCTCTCGTTTGTGTTTGTGTCTCTCTCTCTCTCTCATTCTCTGTTCTCTGTTTTTGTGTCTCTCTCTCTCTCTCCTCTCTTTCGTTTGTGTCTCCGTTTGTGTCTCTCTCTCTCTCTCTCGTTCTCCGTTGTGTCTCTCTCTCTCGTTCTCCGTTTGTGTCTCTCTCTCTCACTCTCTTTGTTCTCCGTTCTCTCTCTCTCTCTCTCTTGTTCTGTCTCTCTCTCCTCTCTCTCGTTCTCCGTTTGTCTCTCTCTCACTTCTCCGTTCTCTCTCTCTCTCGTTTGTGTCTCTCTCTCTCTCTCTCTCTCTCCGTTTGTTCTCTCTCTCAATCTCTCATTCTCCGTTTGTCTCTCTCTCTCTCTCTCTCTCTCTCTCGTTCTCTGTTTGTCTCTCTCTCACTCTCTAGTTCTCTGTTTGTGTCTCTCTCTCTCTCGTTCTACGTTTCTCACTGTCTCTCTCTCTCTCTCGTTCTCCGTTCTCTCTCTCGTTCTCTGTTCTCCGTTTGTCTCTCTCTCTCTCTCTTCTTGTTTTCCGTTTCTCTCTCTCTCTCTGTTCTCCGTTTGTCTCTCTCTCAATCTCGTTCTCCGTTCTCCTCAATTTTCTCCGTTTGTGTCTCTCTCTCACTCCGTTTGTGTCTCTCTCAATTCTCCATTTGTGTCCCTTTGTGTCTCTCTCTCTCATTCTCTGTTTGTGTCTCTCTTTCACTTCTTCTCCGTTTGTCTCTCTCTCTCTTCTCTATTTGTCTCTCTTTCTCTTCTGTTTGTCTCTCTTTCTTCTCTCTCCTATGTTGGAGTCTTTTTTGGCTCTCCCGCTCACTCATGTTTTCCCACTCACTCTATTCTTCCATTCATGTTTTTGTTTATATTCTCTCTCTCTCTCTCTCCTCTTCATACTTTCACTTCTTCGTTTTCTTCTACTTTTCATCTTCCCATTTTTGTTTTTTTACTTCTCTCGTTTTATCTTGTAACCTATTTCTACTACGCCACTACCATTCTGCACCTGTTTCACTCTAACAAGAGCACGACTGCATGCACTTACTTAAATGCAATGCTCCATTAAAAAAAAATTAAAAAAAACTCCCTCACCCAATCAGACTCCTGCACTTACTGCTGAGCAACTACAGAGAATATCTTACAATAAAACAATGCTATTAGCATTCATAATGGTTTTGAAATGATATGACTTGCTGCACTCTTTTGTAATTTAATACAAAGTAGGCAAATATTAATCCTTAGCATCTCAAGAAGAAACAATATCTACATTTACACACTGTGTGGGTGGAAGGCATTTCTGTGTGAAAGCTAATCCATCTTATAATGTTTTCATTATTCATATCTAGTCCAAAGGACTTTTACAGATCCTTTGACTTTACTATATTCTACCATATCTTACCATCACACCCCTCTATCCATTCTCTATATTGGTTACTACTTGTACATCAATCAAGCAACCCTTTGCTCCCTCTGTTATCCTTTCTTCTTGCTTTGTGCCCATCCAGCTCCATTTTTTGTTGCTTACTCACTTCTGTTATATCTTGGCCTGTTTCTTGATCTAGGGTGAGTTTTTCCTTCTCTTGGAGTTTTCTCATGCATTACTGTTTCTATTGGGCTTTTATGATTTTATTTTTAAGTATTTTTATTGCCTTAACTCATATGAAAATTTATCAGAACTTCATTATATATATTAAAACTATCTTAAAAGCCATCCTATTGGGCTAGTTCCTGTGGAGTGCTCTTGATTGGGTCTTCGGCTTGTTCAGAAGTTTGAGAGTCCCTAAGTTTTTGCATATTCTCAGCATTGGAACCTCTCCTGGCTGCTGTTTGATCTGGGTGTTTATTGCACAGGACTCTTTTTCTCGCTGCAGCAACCTGGTCCTCTGTTGGTGTAGATTTCTTTTTGAGAGTGTTACGTGTTGATAATTGTAACAAAGGAAAAAAAAATGATTTACCACAACACAGAGCTAAATCACAAACAAATATTTAATTTACTAAAACACAACATAAAATATATACAAGATAAACAATTGTGGCCTACAAAACAGAAAACACAGAGTTACTAGCGAAGTGTTACGAGGGAGAAGGAAAGGCAGTCAAATATCTTTATCATTTTAGGGCTAGCGAAGTAATCTAAGTGCTATATTTGGAAATCCACAAAGGTGTATAAATAAATATTAATTTTTAGTTTGGTCAATGAAAATTAGTCAAAATTCTATTTACCAAATTTGTTCCATGAAATTCTCTTTTGGGTTTTTGTTGGTCGGCAACATTCTATAGAGATTCTTTCAGCTGGATATAATAATCCTTGAATCAAAAGCCGGAGTTGATAACAGCAAAAATTCCTTTTCATCAACTGACAACCCTTTTCCAAAATCCCATTTTTATAAGGGCTAACACCTAATTTGCATATTTCTAGATGTTTCTCGAATCATCTAGATTTTTCTCGAATATACTAGAATGATCTAGAATCTTCCAAATATTCTATTTCTAATTTCTCTATTTTACAACTATTTCATGAAAGAAAACTTTTTTGTACTAACAGGTAGAACTCAGTAGAATCCTTTACTATAAATTTTAACCTTATTGAGACTTTCTTATTATAGAAATGCATCCTTTTAACTAGAGGCATACTGCTCCCATATGTGATAGGCAGCAATAAACTACAGAAGAACTCAGAATTGATTGCTGCATTTAAGTATTGCATTAATATTTAAGCTTACCTTTTAAAAGTTCAATGATATTTCTTCTGCTATCACTTAATTTAAAAACAGTTTGATGTATGTAGGTCCTTACTTTCCATACAAACAATTATTTTTATTTCCTGAGTGACTTTCACTGGATTTTGCAATTAATTTCAATTCTTCCCAAGTTTATTTCTAAGTTATAAAAATTGTTACCATACAAAAAATTGGTCCCAAAAAATCACATATGAAAACTTCAAAATCCAAAATTTCTCAAACATCATGTATTGAAAGCTAGAGAGTTGTGTCCCTTTAATTGAAATTAAATTATTTACATTATTATCCTCATCTTTATTGTTCTTGTCATCATATTTCAGTTGCTGTCCCCTCTGATCTTTATCAGATGCTTGTCAATTCAGGGAAAATAGCATAGAGGATTAAAGTCTTGGTTTGTGAATTTTTTTACATCGTATTTGGGAGTTCATCCCCTGGGCCAGGCAGTGCAGACATTGAATTGATAGAAACAGGATGAACAATAACTGAGCAGTACTAAATAAGAACAAGATGAGATATCCCTAGACATCAACTGCAGAACATGTCCTGGGTAAGACAATAAACTACATCTACATCCAGGGTAAGACAATAAACTATGTCCAACAGCAAGGCCTCTGATCAGGAGGCTTTGAGGAACATGGAAGCTCCTCTTAATTGCTGGTGTTCCCAGGTCCACCCTGACCCGGAGTGGTAGCACCTGTTAGGGTCCCAGCTATGGGTAAATAGTTAACCCCAAAATTGAGGTAGAAAGCATTATAAAAGTGTAAAAATGAGTTTTAATACCAGAAATACTTTGTAAAAAAATTATTACCAGAAATAAATTTTTGAAGAAAAAAAATATTACCAGCTATACGTTTTTGAAAAATAATATTACCAGCTGTACATTTTTGAGGAAAAAATATTAACAGAAATAGATTTTTGACAAAACAAAAATATTACCAGAAAAAAAGAAAAGTTGTCTGCATTAAATGACCCATTGAGGTTGATATGACATAAAACAAACCAAACCAACTGCAGTACGAGAACAATTTACCCAATAGATTAATCAAAAGATTGAGTTTGAAATTCCCTGATGTTTACTTGGATCAAGAAGCACCTGATGAAGACTGGAGGGCACAACAGCAAAAATGTGATTATAACAACAATGATGAGGACAATAGTCTAGATCTAAATAACTCACCATCCCAGAAATGCAGACGGAAAATGAATTTTGGCTACTTTACGCATCAACAGCAACCAAATGTTATTCGCATGCCAGAAAAAAAGATCAATAAATGTAATAGGCATAAAATGTCTATTCTTTTTAACAAGATGTAACCTAGGAAAGTTACTGAATAGAATAATCAAATGAAGGTTGGTAATGAATGATAATACTTAGGACAAGAACAAGACATATAAGATTTGCCAGCAGCACGTAGAAGTAGTAGTCAACTGCTAGAAGTGGGTCAAGTGAATTCCACAATGAATCTCCAATTGCAGGATATCTACCAACTGCCCCATGTGGTCAGATGTGGCACAAGGCTGAATTTAATGTGGGGTGTCTGAGCTTATAGGCTCGGCCAAAAATTCCCCATATAAAAAAGGGTTGGATAGCTGCTTCTCGAGACAAGACTCTTCCCTTTGACATAGTCTCGTCTGGGAATCCTCTCTGTTCAGAGGCAGAGAGTTTGACCATCACAGCTGGAGACAAATCTCCAACTGCAGACCAACATACAGTATTTACTACTGTATTTATATGAATGGAGACATGCTCATTATCGTCTGTAGGTATTCTATAACACAAGACCTGTTTACAAGAACTGCTGCTAATATATATTTATATATTCTGCAAATAAAAACTCGCTTATGGCCATATCACATTCCCCTCAAGCAAAGCAATAAGACCTTTGGGATACAAAAGGTTAGTGTTGTAACCTATGGAAGCTTACTAATTAGAATAATCCACTGAGGGTTGGTAATAAACGATAATACTTAGGACAAGAACAACACATATAAGATTTGCCAGCAGTGCATAGAAGTAGTAGTCAACTGCTAGAAGTGAATCAAGGGAATTCCACAATGAATCTCCAACTACAGATCAACATACAGTATTTACTACTGTATTTATGTGAATCGGGACATACCCATTTTCGTCCATAAGTATGCTGCTACAACACAAGGCCTCTTTACAAGAACGGCTGCCAATATATATTTATATACTCTGCAAATCAAAACTGGCTTACGGCCATATCACATTGAAACATCGGTTTTTATACAATCACTGGTTAGTACTTAGATGCGTGACTGATTTGGAATACCTGATGCTGCAAGCTTTTATATATGGGTGGTGTAATGGATAACAGCTTGCAGTTACAAATCTGAGAGCCAGGTTCAAATTCCAGCTAGATTTGTTACATTCACTTATGTGCAAATACTGTTGGGAAAGGTATGAATCCACCTTTTCTCCTCCCAGCTATGGGTTAATTAGTACAAACTTGTATCAGTAAAAAGTCATTATTATCTCCCCAAAATTCTTAAAGCCTACAAAAGGTTGATAATCCATAAAACCAAATCAATCAGTCAATCTCTATAAATGGCAGGATGTGTGTGAGTGTGTAACAAATGCACGGCTGCAATTTTTGACAGATTTCCACCAAAATTTACATGCACATGCTCCATGTTAGTGGGAAGGCCAAGACTGATGTTGCATTTCCCAACTCCCATCGATAGTGGAAATAATCGATTTTTTCATGCTTCTATGGCAGTTTTCATGTAGTTTGTGGCCATTTTTACAGGCCAGAGTGAGAGCCAATAGCTGGCTGCCACTAATAGGCAGGAAGATTCTATTGGCCAGCGTGAGAGCCAACAGCTGACTGACATGAATGTTAACTAGCATGCAAAAAAAATCGATGGCTGCATTCGTCTGAAGTGGGAAAAATTTAAATCTGCATGGCACTTTACTCCAATTGGCTCATTAAACTTGCTTAAACTCAACGTTGATTCTGATTCCATGAAACTTGGCTGGGTGTGAAAAAGTATTTGTTGTTAACATTCTTTTTTCATTCCATTTTTCCAGTTACGAGTCCTTTTTTAAAGCTGATCATTTTGTGTTCATTTTGTTTAGTTCTTTTTTTAAAAACAGATTTAATGTTTAGTATAGAGCTTAGAAAAAATTCGCAGTGTGAGGTAGGCAAGAAGTAAGGCATGTAGCAACATCAGCATGGAAAAGGGCACTCCTTTAAAGGCAAGGAAGGGCAAAAATATTTTAAGTCAAGTGATAGCGATTGCTGTATGAGTCATATGATTTTTGAATCAAGCACGGGCAATGCCAGGCCATGCTGCTAGTCAATCAACAAAATTTCAATTGATTTAAAATCTGAGTGACCAACTCAAGAGTTTTATATATTTATTGATTACTTTTATGCAGAAGTTCTGTTGGACTGAAAAATATGTTAAATACTTGCAATTTTCATATTATTTTATTTTTTTTAGTTCTATTATTATTTTGTTGGGGGGGGGGTGATGAAAACAGTGTCATTAATAATAACAACAAACTTGCTATCATATAGCATTGGCTTTAAAAAATTGCAATCAGTGTCAACCAGACAGATATTATATTGAAAATAATTTAATATTAAACAGGTACTATATATTTAAAAATAGCAATCAGTTTTAACCAGACAGGTATAATATATTTAAAAATTGCAATCAATGTCAATCAGACAGGTATTATATATTTAAAAATTGCAATCAATGTCAATCAGACAGGTATTATATATTTAAAAATTGCAATCAGTGTCAATCAGACAGGTATTATATATTTAAAAATTGCAATCAATGTCAATCAGACAGGTATTATATATTTAAAAATTGCAATCAATGTCAATTAGACAGGTATTATATATTTAAAAATTGCAATCAGTGTCAATCAGACAGGTATTATATATTTAAAAATTGCAATCAGACAGGTATTATATATTTAAAATTGCAATCAATGTCAATCAGACAGACAGGTATTGTATAAAAAATAAATCAATGTCAAAACAAATTTGAAAATTTAATATTAAACAGGTACTATATTTTAAAAATAGAACCAGACAGGTATTATATATTTAGTAATTGCAATCAATGTCAGTCAGAGAATATAATACAAACAACTGCCAATTTCATAACAGCAAATTAGTGCCCAACCCTACCCCGACCTCCCAAATTAGAGAAAAATAGGCACTCTCCAGTTCTTGGGAGAGTGCTTATTTTCCTTGAATGAGATTTCTTAAATATTCAGGACAGTAGACAAAAAATAATTATGCTGTTTAATAAATAAAACAAAGCATTTATTCAAATATGATTATCCACTAAAAGTAACATTTCAGTAATAAAAATCTGTCAGATTAATAAATAAAAAATTTATCCCTTTCTTTGCAAATTGAGAATTATATGTAAATTCACACACTGCACATGCATACAGAACAGTATATCTAGATGTGCACACATACAATATATATATATATATATATGTATGTATGTATGTATGTATATATATATATATATATATATATATATATATATATATATATCTGGAGGCAACCGGATGTCTAGCCACACTGATGAGCTGTGAAACAGCGAAACAGTCTGTCTGTGGATGACGGTATATATATATATATATATATATATATATATATATATAAATTATTCCTATCTCTCCCTTCTCTCTCTAATTTCGACCATATCTGTCTTCCTCCACCTCCCTCTCTCTCTATCACCTTACATCAACTTAAAACTACCCCTCAAAAATCTATAAAAATAATACATAAATTTAAAATCATTTTTTACCCCTGGAAATGTGATCTGAGGTACCAAGAAAAAACCACATTCCTCGGGAAATAAAATATAATCAATGGACGCTTGTGGTTGTCTGTTTCCTAATTAAATTAAGATTTGCTCTGGTTTGACATTGAGCTCTCTGGATTACATCCTTCTTTGTGTATCAAAAATATTTTTACAAACTTTGAAGGGGCGTGTTCCTCATGCTAAAACAAGGCCAAAAGTCCATATAAACATGTCCAATAAGCCATCGTTGTACCTCAGCATAGCAGCTCATAACAAATGTTCAAAATGTCCTCCACTTGCTCCTATGCACGCATGCACTGATCGGACCATTGACTGGCAGACCCTTTCAAATACTCCCACATGATGTCGAATGGTTTTGCAGTTCCCCGTGATACGATGAAACATCTTTGCATTATTAATGTCTGCTGCATAAACTAATTGTTGTAGGTGGCCCCACTGATAAAAATCCAAAAGATTGTGGTTGGGTAAACATATATACCATGGAACTGGTCCTCTCCTACCTCTCCATCTTTCATGGTAGATGCCAATCAGTGCATCATGAACAATGTTACTAAAATGTGCTGGAGCCCCATCATGCATGAACCATCTTTGTATTAGCAGGGATACATCCTCTAGCAGGTCTGGAATTGTGTTTGAAATAAAGTCCCTGTAGACAGCTCCTGTAAAACATGCTGGGAGAACATATGGACCTACCAAACAGTCACCTACAATTCCAGCTTACACATTAATCGTAAACTGATGCTGATGTCTAGCCTGTATTGTGCCATGGGGAGATTCTGATCCACCCACAAATGATGGTTGTGTAAATTTGTTATTCCATCTATCCTAAATGTTGCCTCATCCATAAACAAGACTGAAGAGACAAACAACAGATCAGCCATTTGTGCGATAAACCATTGGCAAAAGTTCTCCTGCAGTGAGTGATCAGAGGGCAAAAGACCCTGCGCATGTTGTAAATGATACAGGTACATGAACTTCTCTTGAAGTACCTGCCATCCAATACTATGAGATGTACAACAAGTTAGGGCCACTTGATATGTGCTGATACCTGGATCATCTCCAACAGCCTGTAAAATGTTTTCTTTGTGGTCAGGCGTACAAGCTTTTGTGATAACATATATCCTATCTCAGCCACATGACAATAAACAGCAGTAAAGGCTGGATGATTCTGTTGCCTTTGGTCTGGAAATGCAATCTGAAATGATAGCGAGCAAGTGAAGCCTTCCTATATATATATATATATATATATATATATATATATATATATATATATATATATATCTCAAAAATGCTTTTACAAATTTTGAGGGAACGGCAGATTCCTCACACCAAATCAAGGGAAAAAATTCATATAAACATGTCTGCAGATCCTTCATTTTTGACTTATTAAGTTTAAAGTTTATGGTAGACATCATTAAATGTACAATTGGTCTTCTTGATCCATAGTTTGTGGTGCCTTGGATCCAGTCTCAGCAACACGATGATAAAGAGCAGCAAAGGTTGGATGACTCAGCTGCCTTTGGTCTGGAAATGCAATCTGATACAGTCATGCAGCCTCACATCCATTACCATTCACATGGCTGTATGTAAAAATCATATCTGCCTGCTCACAATATGAATATCCTTCTCAGTTCACTACTACACATGTTAAACATTAAAGACAGACTAGCCACAAATTTACACAAATAACAAATGTAACCTAGTCTATATAGTGCCATCTACCATAACTTTCTTTAAACTTAACTCAAAAAAATGTAAGTATTTGTGGACATATGTTTATGTGGACTTTTGTCCTTGTTTTGGTTGTCCTGGGTAAGATGATAAACTACGTCCAACAGCAAGGCCCCTGATCAGGAGGTTTTGATGATCGTGGAACCACCTCTTAATTGCTGGCCTTCCCAGGTCCACCCTGACTGAGGGTGGTAGCACCTGTTTGGGTTTCAACTACAGGCAAATAGTTAACCCCCAAACTTGAATCAAAACACAGTGAAAGTGTAAAAATAGGTTTTAATACCAGCAATAAACCTTTTGAGGAAAATTATTACCAGCAATACATTTTTGGAAAAATATTACCAATAATAAAAATCTTGTTGTAATTAAATAACTCATTGAGGTTGATATGCCGTAAAACAAAACAAACCAAACCAAAGCTTGTTTTGGTATGAGGAACTAATGCCCATAGTCTGTAAAAGTATTTTTGATACATCCTGTATATATTTATATAATGAAAGTTAATTACTAATATAATAATAATTACTAATGTAATTATAATGAAAGTTAATAATGTTAAAATATGTGTGTGTATACAATTAATACAAGTAAAAGATTTTTCACTTAGTTGATTGATGCTACCTTCAGTATCCTGACTCCAGAGTTTTATAGATGGACACTCCAGGAATTACTCCATCCACTCGTCAGGGGGTATTGGACTGCTTATACTTCTTGGTTTTTCTTTTTTTATACGCACTTTTCATTGGTGCAAGTTTTTTTTTGTTTTTGTTTTTTAGTGTGTGTGTGTGTGTGTGTGTGTGAGCGCTTTTGCACACAAAATCTTGTGGTTATTTGTCCATTTCATCATTTTTTTTCACTTTCCACACTCACCTTAGCCTTTTGTCTCTTTTTCCACTTTTCTTTCAATTGTAGCTATTTTGACTTCCAGTTTTATATAACAATAATAATAATTGTGTTTTCTCTTCTCAGGTATGGAATTCTACATACCCGGTGACCTTGAGGTATAAATACAACATGAAAATGCTGACTTGGAAATATACCCAGTTCTCTCAATTTAATGAGACAGATACCTTATTGCTTGTATCTGGGGTTCATTTCGGCGTACTGAGTACCTCAGGAGAAATTGCAGTCTTCAGTCTTATTGGTTTGTAATAATTACAATTTTTAGCAATTTCAAATCTTATCTTTTGTTTTAGTTGAAATGCAAACTTATTACAGTTTGCTTTTAAAATCCTTGAGGTTTTATATATACTCACAAGACCTGTGATTGTCGGTCAATAAAATTTATACTTTTAAAATAAAATTTAAGTATACTTTTCTCCTACTATTATACTAATTATACTAATCTCTATTATTTTTTTTTCAATCATAGTCTGTTCTTGACTATAGCACAGAAAGAAAGAATAAAAATCATGATTATTGTTTTTTTATGGCTTACCAACCCATTGTAGGTTATTTAAAGCCAGAACATATTTTTTAGATTGTAAGAATTTTTTGGAGATAATAACTATTTTACTGATAAAAGTTCTACTAATTAACCCATAAGTGGGAGGGAGAAGTCATGGATTTATACCTTTCCTAAGGTTATTAGTATATAAATGACAGCTTAATTCCATCATTTCTAATCTTCACAACTAAAACCTGCTGTTGATTTCACAGGGCAGGGGAATGAGTGCAAAAAATTTTTTCCCTCTCCCCTTTTATTGTCACAAGTCTACAAAGAGCATGCTGGGATATTTTTCTTAGCCAATAAAATGGGATGGCTTGCATTTTGACGTGACTCTGTCCAGATTTGCCAATACAGGCGGTTTGGGCTGATTTGTCAAACTCTCTGCCTTTGGGCAGAGAAGAACCCAGATAAGGCTATGCCAAAGGGCAGAGTCACATCTAGGGAGGTAGACAAGCCTGACCACAAGTATGCAGGGTCTACAGGGAATTTTTTTGCCCAAGCCTATGGGCATGGATCCACCCCACATGAAAAATGGCTTTGTGCCATATCCTTCCATGTAGGGAGTGAGGTAAATAACCTTAGTCCAGAACTGCCTTATCTACTAGAAAGACCCACTGCATTTGCTTGTCTGAGCTTGCTTTTGTGTACAGACACCAACTCATAGTTTGTGAACTCTTTACTTTCTTACCTGTTGATTTACTTTAAATGTATTGTTTGCTTGCTTTGATTTCATTTTTTGCTCTTTTTTCTTTTTCTTGTAAACTTTATTAATTCTGTTCATTGGCTAGCTTTGTTATTTATCTTGCATTTTGACAATGGCTTCTAATTCATCAAAGAACATGACCCTAGTTTTTAAGTTGATGTTTTGGTTTTGTAGCCACTTGTGGCATTGTGCAAAACTATCCCTAGTGCAGCCTATTCTATGTTCAATTCCTTTATCTCTACTGCTAAATTTGTTATACACTAGATATTGAATATAGTATAAAATTAAATGTTGATTTCACAGTGGAAGTTGAATGATGACAAAACTTTTTCCCCCTCTGCTATTATAAGCAAAAGTCTACAAAATGCATGCTGGGATATTTTTCTTAGCCAATAAAATGGGATAGCTTGCATTTTGACATGACTCAGTCCTGATCTGCCAATTCAGGCAGTTCAGAACACAGATGAGCCTATGCCAAAGAGCAGAGTCACATCTGGGGAGGTAGACAAGCCTGACCCCATGTATGTGGAGTCTACAAGCTCGGATTCACCTCACATAAAAAACGGCCTTGTGCCACATCCTCCCTTATCTACTAGACAGACCCTCTGCATTTGCTTGTCTGAACTTGCTTTTGTGTGCAAACATCGACTTATAGTTTGTAAACTCTTTTACCTTCTTACCTGTTTATTTTCTTTGCATATATTGTTTACTTTCTTGCTTGATACTATTTCATTTTTCTTTTTATTCCAAACTTTATTAATTTTATCCATGGAACAGTTTGTTTTACTTATCTTGCATTTTTGACAATGGCTTCTAAATCATAAAGTAACTATTTAATTTTCCAGTTTTTATTTTTGAAGTTGTTTATGATTTAGACAAATTTGGGGACAGCTGCTTATATACAAGTTCTAGGACAAACCCAATGGATCAAAATATTGGTTCATAAAAATATGACATAGTAATTGTGAGTTCAATCTTTGGGCCAGGCAGTGTGATACTTAGACGCAATGAAAACAGGGTCAGCACTGAGCAGCACTTAGTCATGGGCAGTTGAATAAGAACATAATAAAGGGTTCATTTTGGCATTCCCTGTAGGTTACCCGGATTAATCCACACCTGATGAAAGCCAGCGGGCACAATGGCCAAAACATTTTTATACTTGGGTTGAATAAAGAGAAAAGACATTTCAATGTCACTAAACTAGTAGATTTGATACAGTTCTTGAATATAGTATAAAATAAATGTTGATAGAAGAATGACTGCAAAACTTTTTCCTCCTCTGCTATTATAGGCAAAAGTCTACAAAATGCATGCTGGGATATTTTTCTTAGCCAATAAAATGGGACAGCTTGCGTTTTGACATGAATCAGTTCAAAACTGCCTTATCTACTAGAGAACCCCACTGCATTTATTTGTCCGATTTTGCTTTTCTATACAAACACCAACTCATAGTTTGTAAACTCTTTTGCCTTTTATCTTTTGATTTGCTTTGCATATGTTGTTTGCTTGCTTCTATTTCATTTTTTGCCCGTTTTTTTCTTTTTATTGCAAACTTTATTGCAAACTTTATTAATTCTGTTCATTGGCCAGTTGTGCTATTTATCTTACATTTTCTCAATAGCTTCTGATTCATCACCCACACATTGTAGCAAACCACCCTCATTCCCTTTCGTATTCCATTGGTGAGATGTAAGTTCAACTTGAGCAGCTTCTCATGAGCTGCTACTCTGTGGAACTGACTCCCAAGAGGATGCTTCCCCAATCACTACAATCTTAACCTGTTCAAGTCTGGGGTTAACTGTTATCTTCCACACATATCCCCATATACTGTGCCACTGACTCTGTACCCTTCTACCTCAAGTGACTCTTGGGCAGTGATTCCCTGAGTGGGCGGTACCAAGATCCAGAGTGAGGGGTGAAAGAAAAAAAAAGTGAGCAGCCCGAGGGTGGAAGTGACCCATAACCTACACCACACACATATTATACCTGAACTGTATCTTGCTTTCACTTTTTAGTGTATCCTATTTATGTAACAATTATTATTGGGAAATACTAAGATACTAATTTGATATACAATACTAACTCCAAGAAAATCCAATCAAAGGTTGACTATACATTGTAGGTGTTTTGGTATGTAAGGTGGTGGTAACCCCCAAAAGTTTGGGAAACACTGCTCTAGGGCCTTGTATAGGGTGAACAGCATTGTAAAAGAAGAAAAATAAAAGCTTTCAAAGATGCTGTGTGGTTTTAGTGAGAAACAGAAAGCATATATAAATATAAAAGAAATGGGGGAGTATTATTACTAAGAATATTGTAAGCAAATAGATTTTAATTGAATGATGCTAGTTGTATAAATTTGTATATATTTGGGTTTACTTTATCCAGATATACATATTTTAGGTTTGTGAAAATCAAGCTTTGGGAATAAAGCATTTGTTACTTACATTATTCGGACTGTTATCTGTCCTATTATCTTCATTGCCAAATTCACAACGTTTCAGTCGTCATACGCTTCGGCCTTCTTCAGGTGATTAGAATTTTGAACCGAACCATTTAACAACCTCAGTGGATGAAATAAAAGGTTTGGTTCAAAATTCCAATCATCTAAAGAATGCTGGAACGTACAACAGCCAAAACATAGTGAATATGGCAATGAAGACGAGGATTAATGTAAATAGTGTAAGTAATTATAATACTTCATCTGTAAATATACAGCAAAATATTGTCAATTTTGAATCTTTTTTCATTTCTACCCAATTAGTTTTTTTTTTTTTTTAAATAATGATATGCATTTATACTTATTGTTATTACTAGATCTTGTTTAAATTGTTAAGCTCAAATATTTAACAATGACATCGACAAATTTTCACAGGCATTGTATAGCCATGAAAATCAAAAACAATTATGATCCATCAGATTGAGTGATTGATTTGTCTGTTTAACGGCATATCAACTTCTTATGGGTCATTTAATGCCAAAATTATATTTTCTTGGGAGCTTGGAAGTAATAAAAATATGTTATTCTGCTTTCACAATTGAATACATGGTAGGTGATACTCAACTTTTGTGTATATACTTGTTTGTGTGGACATAATTACTAGAGGCAGTTATATGGATGTTTTATGTTGTTTTGTTGAAGTTATATATTGAATTACAGTTTGATTTAAGAACTTGTAGGATATTATGTGGATTAATGTCATGAAAGTGCTCATGTTGGTTGTTTGGTAATATTTTAAATGTATTTGGGTGAAGCCTACAATTTGTTAATATGTCCATATTGTTTGTAATTTGTTTATATAAAAATGTATTTTTATACTGTTGTAGGGTTTTGTTTTTGTTTGGGAGGAGGGTTACTATTTGCCCATAGGTGGGACCCTAAGAGGTGCTACCACCCTGAGTCAGAGTGGACCTGGGAACACCAGCAATTAAGAGGAGGTTCCACGCTCCTCCAAACTTCCCCATCAGAGGCCTTGCTGCTGGATGTAGTTTATCGTCATACCCAGAACTATGATTCATCAGAGATTTCAAAACAGGAAAATTAAAATTTTCATGAGTACTACAATTAAGCTACCTAATTAGTTTTTATAAATGGATGCCAGAACAGAGAGTAGGAGATATAGTAAAAAGACAAACATTGATAAGAGCTACAAAGGATAGGAAGTTGTGGAGAATCATGATCGTCCACACCCTGAATTGATATTTGGATAGTAAGAGGAATAGTAAAAAGACAAACATTGATAAGAGCTACAAGGGATTGGAAGTTGTGGAGAGCTATGATTGTTCATGTACTAAATTGATATTTTGAGAGAGGGATATTAAAATGACAAAAATTGCTAACAGCTAAAAGGGATAGGAAGTTGTGAAGAGTCATGATCACTTGCATTCTGAATTGATATTTTAATAGTAACATGGATAGTAAAAGACAAACATTGATAAAACCTACAAAGGATAGGAAATTGTGGAGAGTCACGATCACCCACATCCTGAATTGATATTTTGATAGTAAGAAGGATATTAAAAAGACAAACATTGCTAAGAGCTACAAGGGATAGGAAGTTGTGGAGAGTCATGATCACTTGCATTCTTAATTGATATTTTGATAGTAACATGGATAGTAAAAGAGAAACATTGATAAGAGCTAAGTGAATGTAATCAACTTGACTTGAATTTGAACTGTGTTCTCTAATTCCTCATTCCAAGTCAATATCCATTACACCACTGCACACACATATAAATGAGTAAATCTACAGGAAGATTGTGTTAATTTTAAATACTTTAATTTGTACCCTCTTACTTCTTTGAATAATGACCTGCATTTATAATTATGATTGTTATTGAAATATTTTGTGAACTTAAATATATACTGATGCAATAAGGGAAATTTCCATTGGTGTGAAAATCAAGGAATGCATTTGATCATTAAATTATGAATCATGATCCATCAGGAAATTCAAAAGGAAGGAAAATCCTGAAATTTTAAGGGTTGCTACTAGCAGTACTAATCCCTCATTAATTATAGTAGACAAACTGGACCTCTAGAATTTCTGTAGGCATTGATAACTAAGATTATCCATTATCTCATGTCTCTATTCTCAGTCTTTATTCGTATCTTCACATTCTCTTCCTTATCCATTTCATTCTTCATTATCTGTCTATGGTTTTATGTAAGCCTTATACGAACATCGATTACTGTATTTTCCATCTTACAAGATGCACTTTTTCCCTGAAAAATGTATTCATCTTCCATGATGAATGTAAAGGAACGCCCAGGCTCAAATAAGCGTGGATGGTCACCTAAATGGCTTGACTAATAGATGTGGATTTGTATGTTGGGACATTACACTATAATGTTAGCTATTTAATTCAACCTCTATATAAAGCAACCTCAGTACTTAGCTGTTACAAGTCTTTCCAAAACTATTAATCTTTCCAGAGCCAAGCCACAAAAAAAACATGTTTTGTGTACTAGCAGCAGTGGGAGCCTTTCTGCTCTTGACTAGTATATCATTGCTATACAAATAAAATCGAGCGAGTGATTAATGTAAACAATACGTGGTGCCAGTATGTGAAAGACACATGGTGAATGTGTTGTAAGAGAATTACTTTTTTTTTTTTTCTTAGAAATTTCTTTACAATATTAGGGTGCGTCTTCCAAGCCACAGATATCTTATAAGCTGGAAAATAGTTGTTTCAGATGCAAAAGTAAGGAATGAGGAATGTAAAATTTGCCAGGACTGTAGGGAGGCTGACATACGTGGGTGATACAGAGTTTGTTTTTTTTTGTTTTTTTTTTTTTTAAAAAAAAAAACCTGCATGTGATGTGAAAGTCACATTGTCATTATGAATGTGCCAGTTGATCGTCATTCAATGACATTTCTCACCCTGTCAGCTAGGGCTTTAGAATATGCCGACTGCACCTCTGCAGAGGAGTACCGCTCCCCTCAAAATGAGGCGTCTAGAGTAAGGTGATAAGCTACATCCAACAGCATAGCCTCTGATCAGGAGGTTTTGAGGAGCGTGGAACCTCCTCTTAATTACTGGTGTTTCCAGGTCCACTTTGACCCAGGGTGGTAACACCTGTTAGGGTCCCAACAATGGGCAAATAGTTACCCACCACCCCAAACTGGGGTCAAAACACTATGAAAGTGTAAAAATAGGTTTTAATGCCAGCAATACATTTTTGAAGAAAAAAAATTACCTGCATATAATTTAAAAAAAAAAAAAAATAATAGTACCAGCAATGAAAATTTTGTCGGCATTAAATAATACATTGAGATTGATATACTGTAAAATAAACCAAACAAATAAGGGCTAAAGGTCAAATTTAGGATATTCAATTTTGTGATAGTGACTAACGGAAGATACCTAAAAATGAATAAAAAATGAATAAAGTTATGTGTAAATTGATAATGTAAATAATGTTCATATATGAAATCGTATGGGTTCAGTATATTCACTAACGTACAAATAGCCTTGAGAAAGGTATAGATCCACCTCTCTTCTCCCCAGCTATGGGTTAATTAGCAAAACATGAAAAACATTGTTCAAACCATCTTTACGTCAATGAAGCATCATACAAATCTATTCTAAAAATTTTGTCAGCATTAAATAACCCATTGAGATTGATATGCCATAAAACAAACCAAACTATCAATGACTTCACAACCAAGTAAGCTCACAAGGGAGTACTGTCTACATTTAGAAATGATAGATGTCAGCATAGCTTTGGGCTTTCTTATTAAAGCCCACTTACAGCATCACTACTCCATCAATCAACTGCTTAGTCTTAAACCATTTTCTGCATGAACAAAGTAAAAGTAAATATTTCTGAGTGGAAGGGAAAAAATTCAGCACTAAATTTTGCAAATTTCTTTTCATTTTAATTTGTTTGAGCTAGTCTTAAAAATATTCAGTTTTTATCTTGTGCATTTTAAATGAGAAAGAAAGGGATTGTCAGTGGTCGGGAACGAATACAAGCATTACTGATAGAACAGGGCTATTATATGTATAATGTAAATGTATTGCTAATGATTTTACTATAGGAATGCATTGAAAAATGAGGAAGAAAGGGATTGTCAGTGGTCAGGAATGAATGCAAGCATTACTGATAGAATAGGGCTATTATATGTATAATGTAAATGCATTGCTAGTGATTTAACTATAGGAATGCATTGACAATCAGGAAGAAAGGGATTGTCAGTGGTCAGGAATGAATGCAAAAATTACTGGTAAAATAGGGCTATTGTATGTATAATGTAAATGCATTGCTAATGATTTTACTATAGAAATGCATTCAAAATGAGGAAGAAAGGGATTGTCAGGGGTCAGGAATAAATGCATTGCTAATGATTTTACTATAGGAATGCATTCAAAATGAGGAAGAAAGGGATTGTCAGTGGTCAGGAACGAATACAAGCATTACTGATAGAACAGGGCTATTATATGTATAATGTAAATGCATTGCTAATGATTTTACTATAGGAATGCATTGAAAATGAAGAAAGGGATTGTCAGGGGTCAGGAATGAATGTAAGCATTACTGATAGAATAGGGCTATTATTATATGTATAATGTAAATGCATTGCTAATGATTTTACTATAAGAATGCATTAGAGATAAGGAAGAATTTTTTTATGTTTTAAATTCAGTTAAAATATATCCAAAATTTTGTGAATTGAGGAAATCAGTTTTATTTCTTCAAAATGCCAAAAACCACAGTTAAACTGAGAGGTTTTGTGACATGAGGTTTTGAATTTCAGCTTATCGCTTGAATCAGAGTTAGGTTTTGAAGTTCCATAGAGTGAATTGAGGAATTCAAAATTATTATTACTGTTTTCTAAGCTGGACCAGAGGTCACTTTAATTGTGGGCCAGTGGCCTAATTAACTCTACACAAAAGGTAGATTCAAAGTTCACACAGTGTGTGTCTTTTAAGCTAGTAAATTAGTAAATACTTGGGACATCTGCCATGTCAGGTTAACAATATCAATATTTCCTTTCAACCTATGAGACTTTCTTCTGCCACCCTTCTACCCATATGTACATCACAGTGCACAGCTTCAGAAATCTCTGGACTGATAATGTGCACCAGTAACAGCATGTAATCTCTCCCTGCCTGCTGGCCACCCAAAACTATCTATCCCACCTATGACAGTTCATATATATATACATATATATACATACAGACAAGTTTTGTCTATTTATTTTAAGTAAGTTCCTTTCATATTGTCTGATAAGCTTAATAACATTATCATTGAAAGACGAAAGGAAATCACCATATTGATACATGTTTAAATCCAATCTAAGCTTTCGGCTTACATAAGCCATTATCAAAGATGACAATTACATTTCAATATATCAAACAACACACAGACAAAACAATGATAGTCTGTTTTTGTTGCATGAAAAATTTCAAAGCAATGACAAACTCGGGTATGCAAGATGCGGAAGCGAAAATCACGTCGCAGCTCATGACGTCACACATGACCACGCGAGAGTGAAAATGAGAAGTATTAAGTATGGGAAGCCGTTGGTGTAAACCAATGGCTTCTTTTATTAATCATAGGCATTTAAGAATATTTGTGAATTAGGTGAAACCTTGGTAGGTTTGTCTGGCTCTCTAGGTTTAACTAGGTCTGCTCTACTTACTGTATTGAGCACTTTATTTAGTTATTTTGCTTACTCATATTGGTTTTTTTTTTCTTTGGGCTTTAGAGTTGCATGCTAGACGATTATTTTCGGCTAACTTACATTGTCTTGGTTCTTTCTTTTTTTATACCTTTTTTTCCCTTTAGTATTGGTTTGATTATTTGCAAATCAAAACACTGAAGGTTTTCCGAACGAGTATAATTTCTTATACTTCTAAGATTACTCCTACTAATAATATAATATATATATATATATATATATATATATATATATAACTTGCAACAAAGTTGTTGTTTATTTATTATTTTATTACCTTCATATCAAGTGGGTGGCAATTTTAAAAACCACTTCACAGACTCTGCTGTTGGTCATAAAAGATACTCTGAGATAACTCATCATTAATCATCCTCTTTGTGAGTGCCTAAATCACAATTGTAGTGTCACACAAGTTCCAGATGACATCCTTACAGGTAATCAATATTAACAAACAATCATGGATTATTTGAGTATTTCAATGTTTATTTACACTATTCCCAAAATATTGACTAAAAGTGACTTTTTTTTTCTTTTTAAATACTGCTGATCTTTTCTTTTTTAGGAGAATTCCAGTTACAATGCCGAGTACTGAACAAGCCATACGATGTTTTTGGTACTTGGTACAATTCTAATTACCTACTCTCAGGTAGTTTACTTTGGTTTGGTCCACTTCAGTCCTGTTCTGCTCTTTGGTTAAATAAGGTAATTATTTATCTGCATTTATTTTTCTTTTGTTTCTTGTTTAGTTATTTTTTCTTTATTTATTTTTGCCCCACATTGCTTTTTATTTATTTTTCCCATTTCTTTTTGTTTTATTTTCCCCCCATTTCTTTTTGTTTATTTTTTTCTCCCCATTTCTTTTTGTTTATTTTTTCTCCCCATTTCTTTTTGTTTATTTTTTCTCCCCATTTCTTTTTGTTTATTTTTTCCCCATTTCTTTTTGTTTATTTTTTTCCCCATTTCTTTTTGTTTATTTTTTCTCCGCATTTCTTTTTGTTTTATTTTCCCACCATTTCTTTTTCTTTTATTTTCCCCCCATTTCTTTTTGTTTATTTTTTCTCCCCATTTCTTTTTGCTTTATTTTCCCCCATTTCTTTTTGTTTTATTTTCCCCCATTTCTTTTTGTTTATTTTTCCCCCATTTCTTTTTGTTTATTTTTCCCCCATTTCTTTTTGTTTATTTTTCCCCCATTTTTTTTGTTTATTTTTTTCCCCCATTTCTTTTTGTTTATTTTTTCCCCCATTTCTTTTTTGTTTATTTTTTTTTCCCCATTTCTTTTTTGTTTATTTTTTTCCCCATTTCTTTTTGTTTATTTTTTTCTCCCCATTTCTTTTTGTTTATTTTCCCCCCTTTTCTTTTTGTTTATTTTTTCCCCCATTTCTTTTTGTTTATTTTTCTTTCTTTTTATTTGCTTTTTTCCCATTTCTTTATCTTTTCTGATTTCTTCTTGTTATTTTTTTAGCCCCGTTTCTATTTATTTATTCCCCTCCCATTTTTTTATTTTTTCAATATTTCTTTTTATCCACTTCCCCGTTTCTTTTTCTTTATTTTTCCCTGTTTTTTTTGTTTTTTTATTTAGTTCTTCCTTGTTTCTTTTTATTTATCTTTTTCACTTGTATCCTTTTCTATCTATATCTATTTACACACACACACACACACAGAGGGTAAAATGGATAAATTGTCGTCATTTTATAAATTTAATTCCACACATGTGCATTGTTTTTTGTTTTTTTTATTTTGGCAACTGCACATTATAGTAAGGTCAGTTGGCAACCATCTGTGAGAAAAAGAGCAGCATGACACAATTCACTCTTCCAGAAATTTTGAAATGGCTTGGCTATCCAATCTGGGGACAGTGCAGAGGATTCAGAAAGAGTTGGATGAGTCTAATGGTGATTATGAAGGTATGGCAACTTGGAAAACTTGCTCTGATTGTTCTGATAAGAAAAGAACTCCTGAATTTGTTGGTGAGGGCCTCAGATTCAACACAGAGGCCTACATCAAGTGCCTTGAGGAGGTAGTGCTGCCTTGGGTCAAGTGGGTAACCGCTGTAAGACCCTATGTTTAGCAACAGGACTCTGCACCATGCCACAGAAGCAGGAGAATTCAGTCATGGCTGTCAGACAATTTCTGCAACCACGTCACCCCTTACACCTGGCCACCTAACTGCCCAGACTGCACCCACTTCATTATTATGTATGAGGCGCAGTTAAGTGAGAGACCAACAAAACTCCTTGCAATGCCAAAGATGAACTGAAGGCAAGGATTATGGCAGCATTCACCAACTTAAACAAGGAAACCATCCAAAAGAAATACAGAAGTTGTCTGGAGGCTGGAGTTAGAGCCAATGGTGATTGTATTGAATAAGTTTACTCCTTAGTATTTCAAGATATTTTTGTGTAATTTTGGTAAATTTATTTGTTAAAATGAGATGTCAGTGTTATTTTTATTTTTGTGTAATTTAGATGACAATTTATCCATCGCACTAATATATATATATATGTACATATATGAAGAAAAATATACAGAAAAACAAACAAAAATCCTAATATGCGATTATGCTGTTTTAATGTTTAATGTCAACGTCGGATGTTTCGGTCTAATAGACCATCTTCAGGACATATTCATAAAACATAATTAACATAGACCATATACAATTCAACATGAAAAAGACGATGACGTGATCATATTTAAACGGGATCTTATAAAAGATTTCAGTTATCTGCTTGGATTGGTATTGCTTTTATGTCCATCTAAAATGATATGTTGGGCTACGGCCTCTAGTAAAGTTGAAAGACTGTGACACAGTGACATTCACACACACACACACACACACACACACTCAAACATAGGTATCTGTTCATATGCTTGTCTTAATTGATAGTCACCTGTTCTTCTACTTTCCAAGCTAAGGGAGATAACTCCTATTAGTTAATTTTTGCAGCTACTTGACCAAAAACAAAGAAGATAGAATTCTCATGACCACTGCATAGACATAAACAATTCTTGCATGACATTCAGCTACTGTCTCATAGAACATTTCAGGTGACTGCATTTTGGAGCATTAAACCATTCTTCCCTGATCAAAACCAGAGAGGATAACACCTGAAACATTGAAATTGTAACAGCCCTGATTAATCTCAACCATCATTAGTCATTATCAAGCACCTTAATATTATCAGTACCAGTATCTTTTATGAGTTGTGTTCCCCTACAAAACGGGAGATCATGACTCTCCACAACTTCTTATCCTTTCTAGATCTTAGTAATATTTGTCTTTTTTATCTCTTCTAGCTTCTGTTTTGTCATCCATTTATACAAACTTATTAGGTTACTCAATGTTTACCTCCGCCTCGTCTTGCCTTCAGTATACCCTGTGAGTGTCAAATTCTCCATGCACTCTTTTCTCATTAAGCATCCCAGAAATTTTAAATGTTAATTTCTGATCCTAAGTGTACTTTTTGTTCCCATTTTCCTAGGAAAATAATTGTTGCTCACATGCTCTGTCTATGGTATTCTCAGCATCCTTCTGTAGAACTCTCTCTCCTTACCCAATCACTGACTGCCAACCACATGGTAACGTGCGTTTGATAGTTTTTTATGATGCCTACTATGAGTTTATTCACAGCAATACTTTTAGGGTGAAAACAATGTCTAGACTTCAGTTGAAGCTATAAATCAACTCTCAAAAAATTTTTATTGCCCAAGTTGACATTTGAAGTCAGATTTCAGAATTGACCTCTGGCAGTCAATATTTTAAAACTAGTAACTTAAAACTTTACTAAGTGCCCCACATTTGAGGCATTGTGTCATACTAAATTAAGCTGATATGATGCATTGACATGAAGGAGTAGTCTGATAGTTAATATATGTTATGGTAAGTTCAAATCTTTAATGCATACATCACATTTGTTATCTTGTTTCATACTAAACTATGAAAATACTTATAGTCAGTACCTATCAGCAGTGGTTCAAAGACGGTGGAAAAACACCAACTGCCATAAAAAAGAAAAAATAACAATGGGTAGCCCAAATTTATCAAAGTAAATGGAGGCTTTCCTGCCAAGTATAAAACAACACTGGGGCAACAGTAACACAAATTACAGATTGCTTTAAGCCAGTTAGGGTTTTGTGATGTCAATGAACACTTTTTGCCACTTTTGCAATGCCAACAAATATTTGTTGTCACTTTTGTAATGCTTGTTGTAGTAGAGACTTTGTAATCACAGATACAAGTATAGTAATGCCGTTGAACAATACTTGTGTCAGACGCCTTCAAATAACACTTGAACTAATAGTACTTGCTTGATAATGCTCGCCGTATAGTGATCTGAATAAAGAAATAGTATAGTGGATAGACTAGAGAATAGTGGCCTGTATAGTAATAGAGGATAGAGTAGAAATGATGATCCGTATAGTAATAGAGGATAGAGTAGAAATAGTGATCGTATAGTAATAGATGATAGACTATAAATGCATATCAGTTAAACATGATGTGACTTCCATATATGCATTTCCTCTATGGTCATGTGGTCTACTTAATAATGGGATCGCCTGGTGATATATGTTCAAACTCCCGTATTGACAGTGACACTTTATTCCTATATAACATGGGGGAAGGATTGCATCGCAATGTACACTACATCAATCCTTATTGGATAGTGGGCTTTGTGGAGAACCCATGCTGTTTAGTGTGCATTACTGAAAGCATCTTGGAAGCATTAGAGCTGGGTCATGTTTGGTGCAATGAGCCTGGCTTTCTCTTGAATAAGGTGTACAACAGGGTATGTGCGTATCATTATCCTGGGGAAAGGAATGGCACCAGAATTTAATTAACCTGGAGCAAGGATTACTAAATTACTCCTTTTGCTTTCTACTTGTACCATACTAAGTTAATAAATGTTATTTTAAAAATCATAACTGTTATAATGTATTTAACTTATGAGAGTTTTTTTTTTTTTTAATTGGTATCACCCTATGCAAGGCAGCCAAATCACTAAAATACAAGGGGTTATAGGGTGTGGAAGAATTACGAACAGAAGCATTAATAATTTATTGAATTTCAAAAAAATATTTGCATTCAGACAAAATTACCTCCCGAACAAAATTAAATGTTTAATTAATCAGTTCCTTTACTTCTATGTTTCTTAGATTACAGTCTTATTTGTTCAAGCTTTTCATGTGAAACACTCAGATAGGCTTTTGTTGTTGTCCTTTGTCATTCATTTTTTCTTTATCTTCTTTTTTCCATTTTATTTTATTTAAATAAGAATTTTAAAAAAGGTAAAAAAAATGACAAAAAAAAAAATATAAAGGAACAGATTTTTTCATTGGCTTATTTTATTTTTTATTTTTTCTATTTATTTTTTTTCTTTATTTTATTTTTTTCTTTTATATTATTTTTTTTTTTCACTTTTTTATTTTATTTTTTTTTTATTTCATTTTTTTTCTCTTTTTATTTTATTTTTTTTTTTATTTTATTTTTCTCTTATTTTATTTTTCTCTTATTTTATTTTATTTAAATAAGAGAAAAAAAGAGAAAAAATAACAAAATTTTTTCACTTATTTTATTTTTCTCTTATTTTTTTCATATTTCTTTTATATTATTTTTTCTCTTCTTTTATTTGTTGTCTTATTTTATTTTATTTTTTTCTCTTATTTTACGTTATTTTTTTTCTCTTATACCAGGAGTAATCAACAAATCATAGATACGACTGAATGTCTAAAAATATAAAGGGAACAGATTAATTAAATGGTTCATTGGCCTCCATTTTAGTCAGAAATTATTTCTTCTGCTTTATTTGAATCAAAATACCTTGTTTTAAAACTTTTATTTCATTGCATCTCACTATTAAAACTTTTTTAAAATTGCTGTCATTTTGGACGGCATGGGTACACTAATAATAATAATAAATGACTTGAAGCTACACTAAGCATAGCTCTTGTGGCTTCTGATCTAAATTGATTGGAGGTATTAATATGTACATGTTTTGTCTTGGTGAATTAAGACAAGCTATGGTGAATATCCCATTTGCCACCACAGAGTTGCTTGTCAGCTAACTGACCATAACCAGTTGGACATGTTCCCTTGAGGCTAATAACACTGTTCATCTTTGTTCATAAGCGAGTGTTGTGGGAGGAGCACCAAGGCTGGACTTACAGAGGTTTGTCCTTGTGGTCAAAAAAAAATTTTGGGATGAAATTTCAGATTGGGTATTTCTTCTCTCGACACTGGTTTCTTAGAATTCATTGTTGTTCTCTTCCCTGTATCCACTTTTTTGTTCATTTGTTCATTCATTCGTTCGTTCCTTCCTCCTACCACAACTGCGCGTATTGTACAATGTATCCTGACAGAAGACCTCACTCATATCCACAATGGTCTATTCATAATGGGGAATCACCAATCACTTGCCCGGATAATACATACTAGACATACAGGCACCTCAGAATGGACCACTAACACACCCAGATGTCCCTCCTTGATTCCATCCAACTACACTAATATTATGTAAAGTTGCTAATGACCCAATTTCTTGTGGGACAACAAAGATAAGTTTCTTTTGATGGAATGACACACTCACCTTCTCTCAAATTGAAGTCCTACATGCCAGATAAAGACAAACTCTCATCAAGAATAAGGCAAGTCTTGGTCACCATTTCTACCATTCGATTCTGGTTCACTATGTCTGCTACAGTCCTTTTTGAGTATGAAATTTATTTTGGAGTCACATCTAGATACTTGGGAATACACTTAATTGGTGTTACCTTACCTGAATGTATTTCTAACTTGATCCTACCTGCAAGTTTATGCAGTACTTTTTATCAAAATATATCAGTGAATCAGAGACATTCAAAACAAAACAGTCTGTTTTATTCTGAAACACAATCTTCAGGCCTGGAACATTGTTGCTGCTGAGGCGTGAGGGATGCTTTAAAGCAGGAAATTGACTGTGCACACATATATATAAATGGATTGTCTAAGTTTTCCTTTTATCAAACTAGGGAATGCCCATATTAGCTGAATACATTTTCATAAACACACTGGATATACAGTTCTTGATAATGACTGTAGTGATAGTTAAAAAAAAGTTTTTAAAAGAGAAAAAAAATGAACTTTGAAAATATTACCAATTCTGACATAAAACAATTTAGTTGGAAAAATTTAATAAAAAACATTTGACAGACAGACAAGACCTGTTTAAAATAATTCTTGCTGCCGAAATACATCTTCTATAATAACTCAACACAAAAAGGGAAAAGCATAAAAACAAACCCTATCTATACAAAGCTTGAAAAAGAAACAGGAGGACCTCTTTAGTAAAAGCCAAAGGTGCTCAATATCTGTAGAATAAAGAAACCTGAAATGAGGAAACTAAACCAAGATAAAGCCATAATAATACCAATTCCTAGAAATGACAACCAATAACAATAACTCTGAGTTTCATGCCAACTGTGAGCATCACACATAATTTCTGTTATTCTTGGTGAACAGTTATTCCCTTTGGCTTTATTGATTTATCAAACCCTACAGCGAGGCCTTCCTCAGGGAGATGTAGACCCTACCAGGATTTATTATCAGTGGACACTATATTTTTTTAGTTTTATTTATTTATTTTTGATTGATTTCACCCCAAGCAAAGTAATTAAGCCACTAGGACAGAAGGGGTTACTGGGTGCAGAAGAATTAGAAAACTGTGAGCATCACACATAATTTCTGTTATTCTTGGTGAACAGTTATTCCATTAAACTATGAAAATGTATTGTTGGTTTTTAACTGAGTTATCAAAAACAACAGTAGAAAACTGGAATTGGTTTAACAATAAGTTTATTACTCTTTTGGTACAGGGAAACAATGTAGAATAGAAACTAGGGAAGAGAATGTTTAACTGTGAATGACTGTTTTCAGCGAAAGATATTACTGCTGCTGCTACTCCTCTTGATGTAGGTGTAATTTTATGTCTTTCATCTGACAGCTGAGCCCAAACTTGTAGGGAAACAATGACAATGATCTAAAGGTTCAAATCATTTTAAAACTGCTATATATCTCGAGATTCTCAATCAAAGAGTGTATGTAATATTATTGGTCCTAAACTGGCATCTCAACTTCATTTACTTTCTGTTGTAACTGAGTTATCAAAAACAACAGTAGAAAACTAAAATTAGTTTAGCAACAAGTTTATTATCTTCTAATACAGGGAAACATAATGTAGAATAGAACTAAGGAATAAAAATGTTAAGCAGTGAATGACTGTTTTCAGCAAATGCTATGGCTGCTACTGCTCCTCCTGCTACTCCTCTTGATGTAGGAGCATGTTTGTCTTTTGTCCAACTGCCAGATCCAAGCTTGTAGGGAAATATTCCCCTCCATAACACTGTATCTATGGGTTTAAGGAAACATAATGTAGAATAGAAACTAGGGAAGAGAATACTATTTACATTATTCAGACTATTGTCCTCATCTTTGTCGCCATATTTATTACAATGTTTCAGCTGTTGTATGCTCTGGCCTTCTTCAGGTGTTTGCAATGTCGAACTCAACCCTTTATTTCGCTCACTGAGGTAGACTTCTAGCTCCATGTGCCATTTTTAATGGATGTCAGTTATCAGTTATCTCCTGTCACTGGATCTAACTAACGCCTTTATTCACAATGGATAAAGGCATTAGTTAGATCCAGTGACAGGACCCAAAGAGCATGAGTTTAATACCTGGTTAAGGCGGTGGAGAACTTGGAGATAACTGATAACTGACATCCATTAGACATGGCACGTGGAACTAGGACAGTCTACCCCAGTGAGTGAAATAAAGGGTTGAGTTTGATATTCCAACTGCCTGAAGAAGGCCGGAACATACAATGGTCAGAAACGTTGTAATAAATAAGGCGACAAAGATGAGGACAATAGTCCAAATAATGTAAATAATGTACATAATACTTCATCTCAGAAATATAGACAGGTAAGGAAGAGAATGTTTAGCTGTGAATGACTGTTTTCAGCAAAAGCTACTGTTACTCCTCTTGATGTAGGAATGTTTTTATGTCTTTTATCCATTGGGCAAGTCCAAACTTGTAGGGAAATATTCTCCCTCACAACATTTACTAAATTCATTTTCTATCCATATGCAGACAGTTTGGTGCCAATATCGGTTCAGGATAATTCTAATATCCTTCCCAAATTTACCTAGGAATTTCAACATTTCTTTGTGATGTACTTCATCAAATGCTTTTGCATAATCTATAAAACACAGATACACATCCTTCTGCATTTTTAAGTCTGGTGAGAAGACACATCCTTGTCTTACATCCCTTTCTATTTTTGATAAATAATATTTAAATGTCTTTATATCGTGTAAAATATAACACCCTAATATATTGTGTAACGTTACTATGGAACAATGGAAAGCTCCTGATTGATTAATGCGTGTCCTATTATGTTCTTCTCTATGAAGTAAGTTTAAGAAAGATTATTTTAATCACTGTTCCAATTATTGATGATTGTTTTTCTTTCTTATCCCAGGCATTTCAGGCTACGGACTCCGAGCACGAATCTGTTGTTATGCGCCTTTACCGTTTCAACAATGTCAATGCAAGTTCAATACGGGCTATAATGATTGCAAACTGCGTGACTGACGAGGAGGAAGGTTCAAAAAATGAAGGAAAATCTGTGACCGTAAGCACAGTGCCCAGCAACACGGACAGTAAAACACAGGGTATTTTGAACAGGAAGGAAGGCAGCAACTGTGCTGCCCGGAACCCTAGGCAAAAGAGCCCAGTGCTGGTCACTTCTTGTACCAGGGCACACAATTGCCCGAATTGTTTAAAGCGAAGGGCGGACAAGAAAGCTCAGAAGGCTGTGGCCTCCAGCAATGGCGATCAAAAGCAAAGGAGTTGCAAAACACTACAGTGCCTCACTGTTATGGAGGACGGGCGTTTGCAGAGCAGGATGCTCGAGGTGGAGGGTGAAGAGACAGACGAGCAGTTGAATGGAACTATTGAATACAATGAGGATTATCGGAAAGCCGAAGTAACATGGCACGAAGGCTCGGACTGCAATGACCAAGTGAAATCATGTGAGGGCCTATCAGCAGGCAAGGAAAACTTACTAAACTTAAAGTGTCCTTGCGTTGCTAAGAACAGCCACTACAGTGAACCTGAAGGGGCCTGTGTACAAAATTCTTGCAAGAACAATGCAGAAGTTGAGCCATACTCGTGCAGTTGCTGTTGCAATCTCGGCCCGAATTCCGGCCAGCCCGAAGTGCCCGAGGAATGCACCAATTATAAGCCAGACCTGGACCACACACAGCAAGGTCGTTTGGAATCATCGCTTGCCATGGCGTCTGTTCTGCAAGAGGACAAGGCTAAAATGAACAGCTCAAAATCCTCACCCAAGTTCCAGGACAAGTATCTCATTTTCACAACCGGCTCAAAGACGTACACGCCACACCAGATTGGTATCAAGAAGGTGCAGTCGTTGGAGGCAATGAGGTACAAGAATGTTGAGGAGACTGGGGAGGGGGTTAGACTCATGCCAAACGTTGAGGACAGTCAACCAGGCTCCCCACTAAAATTTGATGAAGTTGATCATCTTATAGAATTGGATGGGCATATAATAGGAATGTGCTTATCACCGGATCATAGGTAAAAGAAATATTTTTTATTCTTTGCGTGTGTGTGTGTGTGTGTGTGTGTGTGTGTACATAAGTGTGCACTGTTCTCGTCAGAGTACAACATTTCTGCAAGGTAAGCTGATCAAGAGTATCTTGTCCAGTTCATCACCTATAACCATTTCGTGCTAGTTAATCTGGCTCCAATAAACAGGTGGTGGTTATTAGTATCATCAGAAATATCCCCTGAAAATACTGTTATCACATTTCCTGGTTGATGAATTGATTGACTGATTTGTTGACAATCTTTTATCTTTGTGCCTGCAAGAAAACAGAGTGTTAAAATGACTGTTTTTCCCTTAACACCACTATTATTTTGACTAACTTCACTCCTCGGCAATGTTTATTTTTTTAAAAAGCAATGTCGAGAATTGTAATTAAACCTAAACATATGACAAAAGGGAACTTATACATTTTCTTTATTATTTGAAAATTTGCAGAAAAAATATTGAACATTATTTATTTATTAAATTATTTAATTGCAAGGATAATTTTATATTTACAACATTTTCAAACTAATGCAGTGCAATATTTAACATTTACCAATTTCTAAAGAAATAAATATGAAAATAATTTTTTATTCAGAAATTTATAAACATTTATTAAAATATGGGAACCAACTATAATTAAATCCTTATTTCCTATTTTATAAAATGTACCCACTAAAATAAGATATGTCAAGAATAATAGAAATACTCAGTTATATGAAATACCTCAAGGAGTCAAAACATTCCTGCACTGCATAGTTCATTACCACTCAAAGGTCAAAAGCAAGAGACTTCTGATTAGGCTGGGATTTATGAAAAAAAATAAAAGACTTGTGATGAAACCTTTTGGCCACAATCACAACTCCCATATCCCATTAGAGTCATAGAAGCATCACATTTACTACAGCCATCACAGCAGTGCTGTGTTTTAGGCAAGTTAACTTGACAGAACGCAACCCTTTCGGAGTTTTCAATTTTCCTTCTCAGCCTGGTTGCCAACCACAACTATAGGGTCCAGTCTGTACTGCTGTTTAACTCTAGTTGGGAAGAAAAGAGATGTATTCAAACCCTTTCCAAGAGTATTTGCACATAAGTGAATGTAATGAACTGGACTAGAATTTGAACTCTGCTCACCGATTTCTCATTGATTACGCCACTGCACATCCACTATTTTAACTTCAAATATTTTGACTCGTGTGCAAATAACTGAATGCACTCACACAGCTAATATATATAAATCACATTTTTTTAAATACTAATTTCTTCAAAAACCAATACAAAGTGTTCATTTTAAAATACGTTATACTTGACAAACAAAAAATAAAATATTCCCTTGATTATTTTATCAATTCTTTTTATAAAAGTTTTTCACTTTTATTTTATTATTGAAAACACCATTCTTTCTGATTTTGCACTGAAGAGTGTATAGCACCAGAGTGTTGGTATAAAAAAATAACAATAATAAAATGGAATAGAACTATCAATAAAATAATGAGTCTTGTGATAAAAATGTTCAAATTCAAACCTGGGTCTCATAGCCAGGAATTAAACATTCGAAACTCTTTGGCATACCCAGGAAAGAAATACAAATCAAATAATAAATCATTTGTTTATTGTTTGATTTTTGTTTTTTACGGTTTATCAACCCTTGCAGCTTATTTAAAGCCAGAAAATATTTGTCTGGAGACTCAAAATTCTTCTTTGTATAGATATAAATTCTTTGTCTATAACTTTGAGAAATGTCATTTACATATTTGACATTGTTTGGACATTCAAATCTCTTTGTATATCAGGTTCACTGGTATGAAAACTTCCTCTTGGACTGACACAAGAATGTTAAATAGTTGTAAAGTTGGAAAACTGTGTGTGACAACTTCTGTTCTGTCTCCAATATATACTTAACTCAGGACTGTTTTGACTGTAAATGAATTGTCTATAACTTTGAAGAATGTTGTTAACATATCCTTCTACATTGTTTGACTGTTAAAGTTTATTCTTGTTGACTATTTCCTATGATAATTTGAGTTCTGAAAATTTAATTTAATCTGGTTTTTTTTTAACCATTTTTTCATGGTGGGCAGATATTTGTATGTGAACAGTCGGCCATGGCCTGAAAACTACTACATTGAGAACCCTCTCTATCCTCCGCCAATTGCTCAGGAAATTGATATTCACGTCATTGACTTGCTACACATGAAAGAGGTTGGAACAATGCACCGTTCCCACAAAGCTTATACCCCAAACGATGAATGCTTCTTCATTTTTTTGGATGTCTGTGATGAATTTGTTGCTAGGTAAGTTGTTTAATTTTAATTTCCAAAGTTAGGGACATGAAAATAAGCACAAAATAAAAATCATTTGATAGTCTTCTTTTTCTTTTTTCTTCTTTTCCTTTTTCTTTTCTTTTTCTTTTTGCTTCTTTTTTCTTTTTTTTCTTCTTTTTCTTTTTTCTTCTTTTTCTTCTTTCTTTTTCTCCTTTTACTTTTTCTTTTTTCTCCTTTTTCTTTTTCTTTTTTCTCCTTTTTCTTTTCCTTTTTTCTTTTTCTTTTTCTTCTTTTTTTTCTTTTTTCTATTCATTCTTTTTTCTTTTCTTTTTTTCTTCATTCTTTTTCTTCTTTCTTCTTCTTTCTCTTTTTCTCCTTTTTCTTTTTTCTTTTTCTTCTTTTTCTATTCTTTCTTTTTTTTCTTTTACTTTTTTCTTTTTTTCGTCATTCTTTTTCTCTTTTTCTTTTTTCATCTTTCTTCTTTTTTTCTTTTTCTTTCTTTCTTCTTTTTTACATGAATCTAAAAACTATAATTGGAAATTAAAAAAAAAATTAATAAATGCTAAAAACAGTGGCAGAAATTATGTACAAACCAAAACAGCAAAAAAAAAAAAAAAAGTTGATAAAATTTATGGATTGACATAACTGAAAATGGATTAAAAACAGGAACGAAGTCTACAGGTGGACACTGCCGAATGCAGACTAAAATCATGGACAGAATCTACAAGTGGACATTGCTGAATGCAGACTAAAATCACAAACAAAGTCTACAGGTGGACACTGCCGAATGCAGACTAAAATCACGGACAGAGTCTACAGGTGAACAGTCAACCATCAAAGCCGAAGGGAAAGATTGGCAGTTTATTGAGAATTTGTATTGTTGCTATTTCCAAGTCAGTGTCTTGTAAAGCATTTGTCATTACTTTTTGTTGAATATTTATCACAGCTAATGAGACAAATCTGTGAACATAGCCAGTCAGGTGTATATGCAGACACGGCTGACATCACAGGTGCAGTGAATGACAGACATGCAAACTATGTCATCATACTAGTTACATTGAAATATTTTTTTTATATCTATTAGAAGCAGACATAAGAAATTTAAATAACCAGAGCACTGATAAAAATCCTAAGTTGCTCATGAAAAAAATGTGTACTGGAATACTCCAGCTTTAAATATGTAAACTATCCAGAAAAATAAATATGGTAATATTAGCTATTTCCTTATAAGTAAAACTGGTATTCATAGTGCTACTTTTAGTTGAAATTTATAACAATCACTTAAAGCAATTTTTCAGGAAAATAGGTTTCTCAGGTCTTTCAATGTATTGGGAGTTTCCTTCTTAACCTTTTGTTTGAAGTTGTGTGGAAATTATTATAGCAATATTTTCTATTTGCATTTCATTGGATATCCATTTTAGTTGTTTTTGCATAAACTACATCCACATCCTGGGTAAGACTACAAACTACACCCGACAGCAAGGCCTTTGATCAGGAGGTTTTGAGCAGCATGGAACTACTTCTGAATTGCTGGTGTTCCCAGGTCCTCTGTGACCTGTGGTGGTAGCAAAACATGGTGATTGATTTGTCTGGTAGATGAAAGACAGGGAAGACCTTCTCCCTCTGTTGTGTGAACAGATTAGTACCTTTTCCAAAGATATTAGTGTTAAGTGAAGGAAAACGCTCAATCAATATTTCACAGATTTCACTTCTTTGATAACGTTTGGCACTGACTGTTATGGTTTTTTGGGTATATACTATGTAACTAGTGAGCGAGTCAAAATGTCTTATTTCCCTTTATAGTCTACCAATAGAAGATTAACCAATCAGGAGCCGCAATACACTGTATCCGTCATGTATACAGGCGGCCATCTTTGTTTTTCCTACTGGAAGGACCAGAGCCAACTTGTCAGGTGAACACGACAGAAGGAAGAACTACACTCTGCTGTGATATCCACTGTGAACCTGAACTTTCCTACTGTCTCCGAAATATTCACTGCCAACCTCTGGATTCTATACTCGAAGACGACCGTCATGAAAATGTCTAACACTGACCACACATCCAGACTTGTGGTACGGGCTTATAAAATTTTCATGTGCATAATGATGATATGATATTAAATATTCAAATTCAATAGTATGATATATAATCAGAGCACCAAACCAGATATGGTAGCAATATTTAATGCACGGATGAATGGTAGATTTATAAATGTGTAAGGTGGGTTCAACTTCCCAAATTGAGTCTAGCAATCTCTCTATTTCATGTTAATGGAAAACGTGAGAACAAGAAAGTTGCCCTCCTGGAGTTTAGTATACATATTTCATACACTAAAAGTAACTTTCTTTTCTTTTTAATCATTTCACTCCAAGCAAGGCAATAAAACCACTAAGATGCAAGGGGTTACTGAGTGTTAGAGAGTATGTGAAAAAAGAAAAATACTATTAAGTGGGAACAGTAGAAGAGTAAACAGGTATCTGTAGATAACGATTGACATTGCATTTAAATTTTTGAAGATTAAAGTTCACTGGGAACCAAGAAGCCATAAGAGAGTTCCACAAATGAGAAGTGCAATAGAAGAAACTTTAAACATAGAACTTACAGTTACATCGAGCCAGTTCAACTGTAAAATGATGAGACATTGCCGCTAATCTAGTATTGCGCTGAAATACATAAAGTCTTAGTACCATTAAGGAAAGTCTATCAGAACAGTTACCATGAAAGTATTTATAGAAAAGACCAGGGAAGCTACATTACAGCTGTGGGGGAGGGACTGAAGCCGAGATGCTAGGTCAGGACCAATAACATTGCAGTTTCTTCTTTGGTTTTTATCAAGAATCTCTAAATATATAGCAGGAGCGCAAGACCATATGTGGCAGCAATATTCAAAGTGTTGGTGAATGGTAGACTTATAGATATGTAAGATGGATTCTGGAGAGAAAAATTGTCTAACATGACACATAAAATCAACATTGTTAGCAGTAGACCAAGCAATGGATTCACTTCAAGTCACCTGAGTCACTCCCAGGGGGGGTGGGGTAGTATCATACATGCTGATGAGAGGCAGGAAAGGATCTTTGAGGTAATGAAGACAAAAGTGACTGAAACTGAAATGCTAGGTCAGGACCAATAACATTGCAGATTTTTCTTTGGATTTTATCAAGAATCTTTAAATATATAGCAGAAGCACCAGACCAGTTGTGGTAGCAATAGTCCAAGCATGGTTGAATGGTAGATTTATAAATATGTAAGATGGATTCTAGAGAGAAAAATTTCTAACATGATACAGAGAATCAACATTGTTAGTAACAGACCAAGCAATGGATTCACTTCAAGTCACTCCCAGGGGGTTAGTATGACCCATGCTGATGGGAGGCAGGAAAGGATCTTTCAGGTGATGGCTAGAGAGAATTTTAAATTCCTTGCTGTATCACCAACGTATAACTTGGGAAATATATTTAGAAATTTATATAAGACTACTAATATTACCGATTCTTCTATGGATCTTATCAAGGAGCTCAAGGTAAATAGCATAGATACAGGACCATATGTGGCAGCAATATTCTAAGTATGGACAAATGGTAGACTTATAGATATGTAAGATAAATTCTGGAGAGAAAAATTTGTCTTGCATTGTCTTGAATCAATTTTCTGAGCAACTGATTCAATATAATCATTCCACTTCAAGTCAACAGAATATTATGGGATAGAGGTAGTATCAATTTTACATTAAGAGCCACACTCAAACATTGAGATATCAATTCTTCTCTGTGTCCTAATGCCATATGTAATGAAGAACAGCAGGATTGCCATTACATTGTCTACATTAACTTGTTAAATGATTTCATTTTTTTTTCTTCTTCTTCTTCTTCTTCCAGTGGAGCTGAGGACAAGTTTGGGTATCTGTGGGACCGACACTACGGACTCTGCTTACATAAATTTCCACACAAAGATGTGGTCAATTCTGTTGCATTCCACCCCAAAAACAGAGAGATGCTTGTGACAGTTAGCGATGACCACACAGTAAAAATCTGGCGATCACGGAACTTGGAACGGCAGTACAGGCTCGAGCGAGAGAAGGCTGCTGCCCTTGCCAGAGAGAAAGGGGAAGAACTGCCTAAACATGTTGCAGACCCCATCCCTGATCCAGACCTGGATTTGGGGCCAGATCTAGAAGCAGCACAAGAACTAGAGACCAAGCAACAATAACACTGATGTAACTAGTTAGCTCTACATGAATTATATGTGTTTTTTGTTTGTTTTATTGTTGTTTTTTTTTCTTGTTTGGTATACAAGTTTGGGTGTCTGGAAGAGCTTTGTGCAGGTGTAAAAAGTTAACTGCCTTTCCTTGAATGCAAAAGCTGAACATAAATCTTTATTTCATATATTCTTCAAACTTGTATTTTTATCTTTCATTGTTTTGATCTCAGTATTTTGACGGTGATGTTCTCCGGCCTTCCACAGGTATGTCTTGGTAGCCTTTAAAAAACTTTGAATATATTTTTTTCTCTTACTCTACCACTTCACCCTCTCCCAACCAGATTTGCAATTTCAATTTGAAAATGGTAAAAATAAAGAATGACCCCCACCTGCAAACACATTTTGAGGACGCTTTTAATTATGATTGAGCTTATCTACAAAACAGTTTTTTTTTGAGAAAGCTTTCTAGGAAATTTGTGTTTTCTTTTCCTAATAAGTATTTAAAACATTTTTAAATAAAAATAATGTATGTAGAATTTTAGTTTAGTTTTTCATTATAAAACGAAATAGTTGCAATATTTTTAGCTAAAAATGCAGAATAACGGCCACTTTGCATCCACATATTTTAGATGTAGTTGTCAGAATTGAAAAATATTGATTTATCATTTTAGAAAGTGGGGGTCCTATTCACAATATCAGTACAGTGTAAAATCGATCCCTGACTTTTACAGAGTTATTGTCAAATGTGAATTTTGAAATTGCGCTTATATCATTGATATCTGCATATGAAAACAAACATCTTTATTAAGAAAAATTCATGGAAATTTAAAGTCAGTCTTAGCCAGCCTTTTATTTATTTTTTTAAGGAAATTTTCGAAGATAATTCAATCACTTTAATATTTACACTTTAAAAGAAAAGTCCCCAGAGAAACCAAATTGATTGAAAATTGTAAACTCTGTAAAATTGCACCCTAAATCAGTAAATAAAACTAGAATATTGTTTTAGTTAATTTGAATTTTTTTAATTATTTCTTTTAATAAAATATTTTGTAGACTTTTGGTTGGGGGGGGGTATTTTTAATTTTTTTTTTTAATCATTGATTATTTGTTTTTGAATCATTGATAATTATTTTAATCATTGATAATTTATTTTTGAATCATTGATAATTTGTTTTTTAATTCATTAATAATTTGCTTTTGTTTTAATCATGGATATTTTTTTTGCATTCATTGATAACATTGATAATTTATTGTTTTATTTTTTTAACCATTGATATTTTTTTTTTTATTTATTGAAAACTTTTTATTAAACATTTA